TTTTTTCATTTTTTGTTTTTATCTATAGCTGTTTTTTGTGTGTGTGTGTACAAATTTACAATTACACAAATAAGAAATTTTCAAAGAAAAGGAAGACACACATTTACAGGAAAAAAGAAAAAAATAGGAAAAGGAAGAAATCACAATGATCGTAAAAGATATAGTTTTTCAAAGAGATTACCCTCTAAAATTTAGAAATAAAAGGGAGCAGTTTACTCTATTTTTTCAGATGGAATGAAAGTTTGTCTTTTTTAGATGCTATCTTGAATCCTAAGTGGTAGACAAATTTGATTTTTATGATAAAAATTGATATTTTTGGTAGTGTATTTTTTAGACTGCAAGAGTATATTTATTGTTTAGCAAGTAATAGAACATGGTTCAGTAAAATTAGGTCTTGTATATCCTTCGTAATACCCAGAACAATATCAACCTCGCTGATATTCTGAAAAGAAAGTAGAAGTTAGTGCTAGAAAGAAAAAACCTTTAAAGTGCACCTCAAGTGTAATTTTTCCCCTATTTGGAAGTGGAGATATACACATATAATAACGATAAATTAAAAAAAAAAGAAATTGAAGAATTCTTGATTTTTTTTAAAGATTTGAACTTCCCGGTTTTCATAACAGCTCCGCTCATTCGGGGGACTGGTGCGAATATCTCATCGGGGTGGAAGAACCAAAGCTATGCCTTCTTTCAAGTTGGATTCACTTTTACAGTGAGTTACAACACAATATTTAGGCATTTTATAATAATAATAATAATAGTAATAATAATAATGATAATAATAATAATATATGGCTTATATAGCGCTTATACAAAATAACTTCTTACGAAATTTGTACAAAGCTTTGCTATACAACAGGCCGCATTTCATCTCACCCCGATGGCGTATATTTTTCTCGTACGAGGACTCCTTGTGACACGGTGCTGACATGTTGCGAGTGACTGGACACTAGTTTTTTGCGCACTTTAAAACACTGTAAATTCTTAAGAATTTCTCAAAAATAGGGGGCGGGGGGATACAAAAAAGCATTACTGAGATATTGAGGATTTCTTCCAAATTAGGGGGAAAATTACACTTGAAGTGCACTTTAAGGACTCCCAAAATGATTGTACTTTTTCACAAATAAAAAATATAGTTTCATCGTGCTTAGAACAGAAGGAACACAAAGGAGAGTAAATCATCTTAATTTTATACCAAAAGGCTTTTTGTAAACAGTATGCGCTTCAGAACCTTATATTAGAATTCACGAAGTTTTGCTTCTAAAGGACATGAAATTAAAAAGGAATTTGGTAAACCAGCGACCAAATAAATGTACCTTGAAGATTAAATTTATTTCAATATGACTTTTGTGCAGTTGGAGTAATCTTAGAAATTAAAAGACTATAAATCCTTATAGAGTCGAGTGCTTGGAGGGAGTAGGTCTTATCATCTAAATATAGATTCATTTCATTTTCGACAATAGGTTTCGTTACTAATGGTAAAATAACTAAATCCTTTTTGATAATCTTTGGCCATTCTATTGGCATAGAGTCTAGAATACCTCTCAATTTGAATACCTCTAATGGAGTAAGTATTCCTATTATGCTTTGGTCCAACCCATTTCTCCCGTAAAGATTACCGATTTGAGTGGCTCCCTTAGAATGCATATTATAATTAAAAGTGACTTGCCAGAAATGCAAATAAACTGATTGTTCCAAATAATTTTGGTTTGCAATACCCTCAATCGAGGTAGGAAATTGAGTAAAATAATTAAAATAATTAAAAGTGACTTGCCAGAAATGCAAATAAACTGATTGTTCCAAATAATTTTGGTTTGCAATACCCTCAATCGAGGTAGGAAATTGAGAATTTAATTTGGACCATGCAGGTTTAAAGGAACTTTGGACAAAGCAAAATTACAATGAAAAAACAAAAATCCCCCTACATTATTCAAATAAAAATTTAAGGATTCTTTCCATGAATAAGGCGTTCCATCAAGAACCCTTTTCACACAATTACTCTCTGGGATTGTACAATGTTTTCAAAATCTGGCATTCTAAGACCTCCCTCTGCTATATTTCTTATTAGCACTTGTCTTTTCACTTTGTCTTTCCCTTTCCAAACAAAACTATAGAGTACACGGCAAGAGAAAATGAACTAAGAGAAGGAATTCCCCCTATATAGCCTTGTAACCATCATGTGCACAGTTTGATGCTATTTTTAAACCATTTGTTTTTCTGTACGCGCATTTACTGCGCGCGCTCTACGCTGTTTGCTTACGTCTTTGGAGTTTTTCTGTTATTTCGACTCTGCCCTTAACATGAATGTTCCCGTCGAAAGCTTGGAAAATACGACAGGAAATTGAAGTCGTAATTTGTTCAACTTTCTGGAGTATTTTTACATTTATTTTCCAAAGCCTTCGATCTACATCGCCATCTTGAGGGCAGATTTGAACATTTGAACATAAGAAAAGCACTAGAAAACATTAGCAAACAGCGTAGAGCGCGCGCGTACTATGCGCGTGCAGAAAATCAAACGATCAAATAAATGATATCATTGGATGATATTTTCAGAATAGATTCTAAAAAATAGCATCAAAGTGTGCACAAAATGGGGCACGGGGATTCCTTCTCTTAGTTCATATTCTCTTGGTACACGGTTTACTTCTTTAACAAAATCTTTATCGGAAGAGATTGCTGAAGTACAATGCAATATTTTAGGGATTGTGAAGGATTTAATAATTTGTTATTTACCGTAAAAGTAGACTTAAAATCTAAAATAGAATCCCCATCATTTTTAAGCCAGAAACAGCGTAAAAATCACTTAAGATTATTTGAAGAATTCGGAACAAAGATTTATTTTTAAAATATATGGTAATATCATTTGCAAATATGACCAGTTTTATCACTGAGCATTATACACGAAGCCTCGCATTGAAACCTTTGTGCGTGACAAGCGAAGCACATTTGTGCTTTTTGATTAGGAGGGTCCTTTCTTGTACGCACCACAGGCAACCCAATGACAAGCAATGTAACCCTGGTAAGCCTGGGTTAACTATGATAATTGTACGCTTTATTATCACGCTTCTGTTTTAGCTCACCAATCAATTTTTCAACGTGTTGCATCCTATATATCCAATTTGTGGAGATCTATAACCGGCCGAGGTACGTATGTCTGTTATTATAATAATTATGTAATCCATGTATTTACATATATCCACACATATATTAAGATAAAGTGCTTCTTTTTTCGCTAATTACGATATTTGACACTTCAGGTCGTCGTACTATTACTCCTCGTGTTACTCATGGTATGTATTTATCAAATAGAACAACTTTTTCCGTGCTCCGTTCAGTAATAAAGCACGCAGGAAGTGGCGTATGCACGAAAGAGGTGTAAGGAGAAGCACGAACCGTAGGCGAGTGCTTCTCACACTTCTTGAGTCTAAACAGTCTATATTTACTTATACCTGACAGTCTCAATCCAATAATATATAGTTCAATATTTTTGTAATGTAGTTTAGATACTCTTTTGCATATATGGAAAACAGCGATATTTTGTATCTGAAACTAAAAAACAACAGGTAACTCGATTTGTGCCATTTCATTTTATTTGTTGGTTCTCTCCTGTGCTTCGAGGGTTTTCCGGGTTCCCCGGCTTTCCTCCCTCCGCAAAAATCAACTCCGATCCTAATTCTCATTTATTTATTTATTTCATTTTATTAAAATCCCGACTCTACTAATTTGTGGTAATATGCTGGGTTGTGCATACGGAGCGGATAGAGGGTGATATTTATCGAATCCTACCAGTCTCTCTCTCTCTCTTTATCCATCAATCCCAAAGTTCAATGGTGAGCATCGAAGGCTATGACATCCATAGGTCTGATAGAAACCGCAATGGAGGGGGAGTTTGTTTATACTTGAAAAAGGGCGTAAATGGGAAAAACCGTAGTGACTTAACTGATGATAAAGTAGAGTCCCTGTATTTTGAAATCATGAAGCCAAATAGCAAGTATTTTGCCGTTTTAGCCTGTTATAGGCCTCCTAACTATGATACACACTCATTTTTCAATATATTTGAAAATGTGTTAACAAAAATAGATTCTGAGTTTAAGGAAGTTTATATCCTAGGGGATTTAAACTGTGATTTATTATCTACTAATATTAATCAGCAAACCCGCT